AATGACGTGGCCTTAACGGTTACTCATACATTTGAATTCAAAATTAGGAGGGAAGCCTAACTGCATATGACATAGTAAAGCTAACTGCAGGGAAGCATGATTAGTGATCATGGAGGGATGGTTCGACGGTTAGAAGTCCATTTCGATGGTTGCCATTAAGAAGTATAAAGAGCAGAGAAGGCCTCAGAGAAACCCCCAGACTTAGATCCAAAGAAATCAGTTTTATCTACTTTATTTCCTTTCCAATTTTACATTTCCTGTTCTTTATATTTCTGTACTTTCAAATTCTTGCACTGCACTTCGTTTATAAGAGTAGTTTCAAGTAGATTGTTGCTGTAAATCTCTACGAGGCTGACTTGGACCTTTGTAAGTCTTTCATTTTTACTTAATGAAATATTACAATTGTCCTTCCTTTAATTGTTGTTTATTTAATTCTTCCTAAACAAAGCTGCTAGTAAAAGTCCTCTTCATTGAGGCTGAAAGAACTAAAACACAATCGTCTGATAATTGGTTGGAAATTAACATTCTGTAAGGACTGATTGATCCTTGCTGGCACGCTCATAATTACAAATATAACCTTCGAAAGCCAAAAAGCCAACAAGGTTATAAACTTTTTAATTTTTCTAGGAACTTTTTGACTTTTAAACTAAAACTTACTTCCCAAACGAGGCCAAGTCAAAATTAATTTCATAAAATTTCTAAAATGAATTATATTTTCTTAGATGAATTAAGATTTCATAATCGAAACTGTAAAAATCAAAATGAGAGAGGGCTTGACACCCCATAACTTTAATAAGTTAGATATTTTAGTTGGCTTTTTTAACTATTTTGTGAGATGGAAAAAATTATGTTTGAAATGATTTGTGAATTTTTTTTGTAGTTGAATAAATGATAGTAAGAGAAAAAGTAATTAATTGACGTGTAAGATGATTTCTAAAAATGTGGCTATGTGCTAAATCAATAGCATGGAATTGAATGAATACATGGACTTTAAAAATCAAGAAAACATCAGGCAAAATGATGAAATATCATTGACTAGATATATTTCGGACTTGATAGTCCCCATTGGGCAAGTGAGTTGGGTTTAGGCTGTGATTAAAAAAACGTAAAAAGAAAAAATAGGCTAAATAAATTAATAAGACAAAATGACACATCCAAACTATAATTATTATACTCATTCTCTCATAAAAAAACAAAAAAGTTAAAAAATTCTTCCCAAACATAACTAATTTAGTTAGGCTAATTAGCCAAAAAGCCAAAAAGTTAAGCTAAAAAAGTTCTTCCCAAATGAACCTTAAATAATTTCTACTTAATTATAGGCTGCCACAATCATAATGGGTATGACCAAGTCTCTCACAAAAGAAGATGACCATCAAGATGATGCATAGAAGTTTCACAACCAAAGACGAAGTTTCTAGAAGCATCCCAATAACATATGTTTTCGTAGAAATCTGCACCAATCTCATCCTTTGCTCCCCAATGTATTGATCAAGTGCCATTGTAGACACCTCATTTTTGACCGACCTTAAGACTCAGACGTCACCGATTGAGCGCTTGGTGATGTTGCATATCGTGCTCGTTCAGAGGTTCCAGAGTCTCGGCTGCGAGCCTTGCCTCCGGACTTCCGGACTCTTTCATGCTTTGCCTCGGTTTGCGAACCAGGCTCTGTTTTCTCTTCCTGAAGGGAGGGAGAGGTCTCGTAGATCATCTCTCAGTGGCCGTAGGCTACGTTTCGTGGTCGTAGGCCATTTTGCCCGTTTGGAGTCCGGTTTCCGATTTTTCAATTCCTCCTTAATAAAATATTTAGGTGGCGACTCTGTATCTGGCAAAGCAGTCCATGTTTGGCACTTCTTTCAAAATCTGTTTTCTCAAAACGATTTGCCGGATTTGGACTCTTTGGTTCAAATTTAGAACCGTGACAATTTGAGAGTCTGAACTGTAGTGAACCCCAAATGAACAGAACGGGACTCATCCCTCCCGGGGCGTTCGGGGACGTCTACAGCCACTTCTGCTCTCCTCTGTGTTGCTAAGCATCTAGCCAAAACGATAGCATCTTCCAATGCAATTGAGCCTCCTTGTCCAAGAAATGGGCCCATTACGTGCATGGCATCTCCAGCAACTATCACTGTTTCTTTTCTAAACCTAGCGTTTATAAATTCCCATGGGGCTTGATATCGAGTACCATTAAAAGTCAATGAATCTACGTCACAGTTTTGTATCATCTCTAACATTTCTCTTGGAAATCCCTTTACTGATTCTAGTGCTGACGATATGATTTTTGTTGTATCTTTTAACATTGTTGAATCTGCATGTATATATATATATATCATCAATATTAGTAATGTTACAAACTCATATTTTTTTTCAAAAATACAAATGTGTGGCTTAAATTCTTTTTATACATAAACCGTACACTAGCTAAATTTTAATCACAAATATAGAAATTATAGATTAACATATCATAAATGTACAAAAGTATTGGGACAAAAAAAAAAAGAAAAAGAAAAAGATTTCTAATCATCTTTTTCTTTCTTTCTTCTTCTTTTTAATATACAATGTGAAATACTCACAATGATTCAATATTAATGAGATTCACCTGAAATTTCTCGAACACTTTTAAGATTAGGGGAATTACTTTCCAGTTGGACAAACAAACAAAAAAAACATAAACATGGAGAGGTGCAAATCCTTACAATTTTTCACTTGCATCCCATCACATAATCATGTGCACCTCCAATGTTTTTGTAATTTTTTTTTTGTGTCCCACTTTTAAGTAATTCTCCCATCAAGATTTGAAAAAAAAACATATTGACTTTTACTTTAATATATAATTGAGGAGTCATTTGGTAATCTCATATTTTAGTTATTAAGTTAAAAAAAAATTTAAAAAAAAGTCAAAAAAAAAAAAAATTAACTTATACAAAAAAATTCAAAAATATTTTCTCATTCACTCTACTTTTCGCATGTTTTTTTTGTAAAAAATAAAAAAATATTCTCAACTCATATTTTCGCCAATAAGACAAAAAAATAATTAAAAAAAGTAACTTCTCAAATAGCCTCTAAGTATAAGATTTTTTTCTCTCTCTAGAATGAGAGCTCTCTCTGCCTTATGGTAGTTGTGTAGGGTTTTTCCCTTGGTGTCCTTCCAACCGTTCCTTATTTCTCTGTGCTGTGGGTGCTCTATTGTTCACAGAGGTGTTTCGGTTGGAGTATGGAGGCTTTTGAGCTGCTGGAGGTCACGGATGAGTGCGAGGATGTTTCTCCACGATGTCTGGTGGGGAAGATCTTAGCCCCAAAAATCCTGAACAAACCAGCGGTAACAAATATCCTTCTTGCTGCTTGGAAATCTCGGGCCGGTGTTGTTGTTACCCCTTGGAAGGAGAACATCTTTCTCTTCCAGTTTGAAGATTTGGAGGATCGCTCGAGGGTCCTCCAGGAGGCCCCCTGGTCTGTTATAGGGAATTTGTTGGTTCTCCTGCCTCTCCCACTCGGGAAGGCCATAGATGAGTTGGATTTTCGGTGGAGCCCTTTTTGGGTCCAAGTTCATGGCCTCCCTTTAGACAAAATGACTCATGCTCATGGGGAGGTTATCGGCAGTAAGATTGGCCGGTTAGTGGAGGTTGAAGCTCCCTCGGATGGATTGCTAATTCACTGTAGTTTTTTGAGATTACGCGTTGAAGTGGATGTCACTAAGCCACTGTTACAGGGTTTTATTTTCTATCGGCGTGATAGTTCGGGACCCGTCGGTGAGGGACTTAAGGTCTATTACAAGTATGAGAAATTATCTGAATTCTGTTATGATTGCGGTCGTATTGGGCACGATAAGATGGCCTGTAAATTTGTATCAAGGGAAGAGGGTCTCCAGTCTGGCTATGGCCCAAATCAACGAACAGGGCCTGCAAGAAGCTTGCATTTGATTCATAGCTCGCAGCGGAGAACTACGGAGGATGTGCGTACGGGAAGTAATACGCTGGAATCACCTATGAACATTCCGAACAGTTGCACGGTGGCGCGTCGGCAAGGGGCAGCAGGGAATGAGGAGAGTGGGACAGCAACGCCCACCTCTCACCAACTGGCTGCGAATGTGGAGGTACGTTCTGTACGATCCCGTGTAGTGGAATTGGGGGCTTCAGAGCCGCTTCAGTCTGAGTGTCCATGTCCATGCTCGCCTCTTTCTTCTCAGGACCCATCCCCTGATCTGGATCCACCCATGCGTGATTCAAGGTTAGTGAGTGGGCCTCCCCATCTCTGCACTTTTAATTTTGGGCCACCTAATGTGGTGGGCGAGGCCCAAACTAATTTTGATCCATCTTCGGAACAGCATGAGTTGCCGTGCTCAGCCCCTTATTTTGTTACTGAGCCTTCTGAAGTTACTCCACTTATTTCCAAGCCCACGGGTTCCCAGGATCCCTTTTCTTTTCGTGTGCAAGAACTTAGCCTAAGTTCTAGTCCTGTTAGGACAGGGCCTAGTGATTCAATTACCGACTTGTGCATCTCCAAAGTTTTCAATTGCCTCTCCTTGAAGAGGCCTCTTGGTGAAGAGGATCTATGCGATTCGGTGGCCAAGAAAAAACTGAAGGGGGATATATCGGAGCTGGACGGTGTAATTGCCGATTCACAGGCTTTATGTGTTGTTGCTTCAAAACCAAAAGAACGGGTTCTAGCCAAGAGAGTGAGGCCCTAGAGAAAGAGTTCTCTTGTGGAAATTCAAGTCCAGATGTTGGAGACCGATGCCACTTAGACCTCAGGGGTACTGGTCCAGTCCAGATTGTTTCTTTGGGCGATGCTGGTTGTTGCACTCGGTTCGGCTTGTCTCAGAATGCAGCGGCCAGCGGGGTGGATATTTCTGCTAATTCTAAAAGGGTAGTGGTGGCTGACCTCGAACAGCCATAGGCCTCATGCTAATTATCAGCTGGAACTGTTAGAGGTTGGGTCGTCCCTTGACAGTCCAGGTATTACGAGGGTTGTGCACAACCCATTGGCCTTCGGTGGTCTTTTTGATGGAGACAAAGAATAAGAGAGTTAAGCTGGATCATATCAGACGAAGCCTCAATTTTCTGAATAGTTGTTATGTGGATCCTATTGGAACTTCAGGTGGACTTGCCCTCTGGTGGATGGATGGGGCTATCTTGGATGTTCGCTCTAAATCTCAAAATATTCTCAGGTGTATTATTTCGTCTCCCGCAGGTAGGAGTTGGGCTGCCTCTTTTATTTACGCCCCTTCTCGTAGGCGGGAAATGAGGTCTTTTTGGTAGTACTTAAGGGGTGTGGCACAGGAAATGCATTATCCATAGCTTTGTGTTGGTGATTATAATCAAGTGAGTTCCATTTTTGAAAAGCAAGGAGGGAGGGAATGCCATGCTTCTCAACTTTGTGACTTTCAAGAACTGATTTCAGATTGTAACCTGGTAGATTTGGGCTTTAAGGGGAACACTTTTACTTGGTCTAACCAACAGGGGGGTAATGATAATGTTCGAAAACGACTGGATAGAGCTTTAGCCACGGTTGATTGGCAGGACCTTTTTCTGAATGCACAAGTTGTTCATGAAATTTGTTTTGGTTCGGACCATTGCCCCTTGGTTATTAATTGTTGTGTCCCATTGGCCCGGGTACCTAGACAATTTAAATTTGAATCGCTTTGGACCACTAGTTCGGGTTGTGTGGCAACTATTCAGTTCGAATGGGATAGGGATCAAGGGGGGTCTCACATGTTTCAACTTGTTCAAAAACTAAAACGCAGTCAAAGACGATTATGGGAATGGAGCTCAGAGGAATTCGGTAATGGCAAACGGCATATTGACTTACTTCGGGGGAAAATAGCTCAGTTACAGAGTTAACCTTATTCTTTGGATAATGAAGCACACTATAAGCAGTTGGCCCATGAACTAGAATTGGTCTTGCAGAGGGAGGAAATGTATTTACATCAGCGATCTCGGGTGCATTGGCTCAACTTTGGAGATCGGAATTCTGCTTTTTTCCACGCTACAATTAAGCAACGACACCAACGGAACCAGATTTTGCAACTGAAATGTGAAGATGGCACTCTTCTGAGTTCGGAGTCGGACATCAACTCTCATTTGTTCACTTATTTTTCGAATCTTTTTTCTGGTGGTGGGAGTGGGGAAATGGACATAGCTCTTGATGTGGTTCATAGTGTTATCTCCCTAGAAATGAATGCACTGCTGATTCAAGAAGTAGTGGATGAGGAGATTAAAACAGCGATTTTTCAACTTGGTTTACTGAAAGCTCCTAGACCGGATGGCTTCCCAGGATTCTTTTACCATCAACATTGGGATATTGTGGGGCCATCTCTATGTGCGGCGGTGAAAAGTTTTTTTCGGGGGGGTTTTTTGCTAAAAGAGATGAATCATACAAATTTGGTTCGCGCCAGAAACCTTATCCCAGTTTAGGCCAATCAGCCTATGCAATTTTAACATAAAAGTGATCACAAAAATCCTTGCCAATCGGTTGAAGGGGGTTCTCAATACTGTGGTCTCGCCAAATCAATCCGCGTTTGTGGCAGGAAGACTGATTTAGGACAACATTCTCGTGGCCCATGAGGCTTTCCATGCATTGAAAATTCGTAAAGGGAAGGTGGAGGATGTGGCGATTAAAGTTGATTTCCATAAAGCTTATGACCGAGTAGATTGGAGTTTTCTTCGGGCCTTGTTATGTAAGATGGGTTTTCACTCTTGATGGATTCAATGGGTGATGGAATGTATCACCACGGTTTCCTTTTCGGTGATAGTAAATGGGGCCAAGCGGACTAGTTTTAAACCATTGCATGGTCTTTGCCAAGGGGACCCTCTCTCCCCATATTTGTTTATTCTTGTTATGGATGTTCTTTCGAAATTGATTGACCGTAGTATTAATGATGGGCGTTTTTCAGGTTTGAGAATTAAACAGGGTTGTCCTAAGTTGTCTCACTTGTTCTTTGCCAATGATGCGTTGCTTTTTGTCAAGGCCAATCGAACGGAGTGTTCCAAGATCTGTAAATTGTTACAAATCTATGGCCAAGCAACAGGGCAGTCGGTTAATTTTGATAAGTCGGGTGTGCAGTTCTCAGGTAATGTCTCATGGTCGCACCGGAGGGAGGTGTGTGGTTTCCTTGGTATCCCGCAGATGCAAGCCAATGCTAGATACTTGGGCCTCCCGTCGTGTTGGGGTCGTTCCAAAGCTGAAGCCTACAATTTCTTGTGTGAGAAGATGCTGTCCAAATTGCAAGGCTGGAAGGCCAAACTTCTTTCCCAAGCCAGCCGGGAAGTCCTAATTAAATCGGTCGCCCAAGCACTACCCACTTATGCCATGGCGTGTTTCCTGTTTCCAAACAAATTGTGTGATAAGTTTAGTTCCTATATTCGTAATTTTTGGTGGAAAGGTGATCCAGAGAGGCGCGATATTCATTGGGCCAGCTGGAATAAACTTTGTCTGTCAAAGCGTAACGGAGGCTTGAGTTTTCGGGACTTTCGGGCCTTCAATTGCGCTCTCTTTGCTCGTCAAGGATGGAGATTAATTGAGTACCCGAATTCCTTGTGTGCCAAAATTATTAAAGGGATTTACTACCCCAATTCAGACTTTTGTCATGCCACGCGTGGGGTGCGCCTTTCTTGGGCTTGGCTTAGTTTGCTTCAGGGGTGGAATATTCTCAACGGAGGGCTACGGTGGCAAATTTTGAATGGTAAGTCCGTCAATTTTTGGGATGATCAGTGGATTCCCTCTAATCCGGGCTTTCGCGTTCAGTCTGAAAGGCCTAGAGGGGTTGTGGTGCAAAAGGTACATGAGGTTATGGTATCTTCCCGCAAGTTATGGAATGAAAGTCAGCTTAGAAGCCTCGTTTCTGGAGTTGATTGTGATGCTATTCTCTTTATTCCAGTCTATGTTACGGATAAAGATGATACCCTTCTTTGGCATTATGATTCAAAGGGCTATTATACGGTTAAGTTAGGGTACCGTGAAGCCGTGAAACAAGCGCACTTGGTCTCCACTATTCCTTCTTCTTCCATTGTGTGGTCTGAGAATGAGTGGCTGCTCGTTTGGAACCTGAATTTACCTCCAAAACTTAAGCATTTTCTTTGGAAAATTTATCATAATGCTTTGGCCACTTGTTAAAACCTCTTTTCTCGCTGGTGTGCCGTTTCGGCTTGCTGCCCTGTGTGCTTCTCAGCTTCGGAATCTATTGAGCACCTCTTGTTTGACTGCGAATGGTCCAAAAGAGTTTGGTTTGGGTGTGATCTTGGCCTTAGATGCGACAATCGGGATAGTCTTTCGGTTAGAGAATGGTTTGGAAAATGTTTTGAGGCTTTTGGAACTTCTGTATGGGGGAAATCTGTGTTATGTTCTATGGTTTGGGTTGCATGGACCATTCAGAAAGGAAGAAATGATCATCTGTTTAACCAATGCCAGGTTGACCCAACAGGGGTGATCGCAAAGGCAAAGCGGGATGAAGCTGAATTTCTGGCCACATGTCCAGCAGCCACTACTCCGCAGATTGGGGCATCGGGGACGACAAGTGGAGGATCTTCATGGGTTCCTCCTTCACGCAGTAATTGAAAATTCAATTGTGATGCTGCTGTGGATTTGAAGCAAGGCATAAGCACAGTTGCAGTCCTTCTTCGTGATCACACGGGCCACCTGGTGGATGGTATGGTGCGGAAGACTCGATTGTGGTCTGTCGCCCAGTGCGAATTACTAGCAATTCGGCACGCATGTCTCATGGCCGATGTTCTTAATCTTGCTACAGCGGAAATTGAAAGTGATTGTAAACATGTTATTCACTTGTGTGTGTCCAAAGGGGTCCCTCCATGGGAGCTCCTTGCTATGATTTGTGATGTTCGGTCGTTGGCCTCGCGCAGGTAACTTGCTTTTAGATGGTGTCCTCATAAGGCCAACAGGGCAGCCCACTGGGTAGCTTCGGCTTGTTTTAGAAACTCCTTACCCTTGGATTGGGTTACCCAACCATCTATGGGTCTTGTTAGGTGCTTATTTTCCACTTCTATATAATGTGGTGCTGATTTTCATGATAAAAAAAAAAAAAAATAGCCTCTAAGTTAACATGTACAAAGAATCAATTAATTTATGATTTTTCTTTTTGTTCATATGTTAAATTTGAAAGTCTAAGTATCCAATAGCAAATTGACCCAAAAAAATAAATCGATGATTGAGATTTAAACAGTATACTGTAGATTCATATATAAATTAGATCCGAACCGCACATTCATAATTTTAAGTAAATCAAAAAACAAGGAAGATATTACCTTGAGGTGTGATTGGATGAGCAACAAACCAAAATACAAGGTTGTGATCAATAGGGAATCTTCCAAGCAAAACATGGCCTTTCCTGATGGCAACAAATTCAGGGCTAAATCCATGTCCATTTTTGTAATTTGCAAAACCCCTCGCTCCGCCCCTTGTTGACTGCTTCGGAGGTTTTAATCCAATGGAATTTGTAATCACAAAGTTTACTCCATCACATCCTATCACTATCTGCCATTGATGTATATATACACAAATTGCAATCCCAAATTAGATCAAGTAATTTTAATCAATTAAGTGATCTTTACTTTGGTTTAGTTTTCAGTGTAGTTTTCAAATTATTATTATTATTTGTACTTAAGTGTTCAATTGTTTTAATTTTCAATGTGACATTCAACTTTCTATTGTAAATTTTAAATTTTCTCTCTTTAAATCGTATTAACTCTCACAAATAAAGTCCATGTACAATTCTTTTTTTAACTTGTTTTTTGTTGGTTATTTTTCATCTTTAATATAAAAAAAATCCAAAATTTTTCCAAACACTTTTCACTTTTAGATTCTACTAGATTATAATTACCTAATTTTTTTTTACTTATATTCTTCTAGATTAGATCAAAAAGTTAAGAAAAAAAATATACAAGTTTTTAAAATTTTCACTGAAGACGATTTTTTTATAAGAAGTGTGACATTTTAAGCCAAATAAAGTCTTAGATGTGAGAAAAATATAACATTTATATTATATGCTTCTTAATTAATCAAATTACATTTTAAGCCGAACAGTCTTAGATGTGAGAAAAATTATAACATTTATATCATGTGCTTCTTCATTGGTCAAATTTTAGAATCTACTAAAAAAAGGTACAAAACACTAGCAAGGGCATAATCCCATAGGTTCTATGGCGAGACCGTCAATCATGAGTATTCTTTAATCTATTGGAATTCGTTTCTATGCAAATTTCATATGTTTTTAAAGACAAAATTACCTTAGCTTTGATTACAGTGCCATCATGAAGTTGAAGAATTGGAAGTGAAGTTAATGGATCCATTTGGACATCAATTATTTGACACCCAAAACGTATTGTTCCAACTGGTAGCTCGTTTGTTAGGGTTTCCACTAGAATACTTCGTTTTAGGCATCGAGCTTCTCCGTTCCTGACAAAACATAAGAGTAATATTCATCAATATATTTGTCGATATTATCTGATATTCATTATTACCAATATATGATTAATAAAATAAAAAGAGGAAAAAAAGAAGAGGAAATAAGAAGAAGGCAAAAAGAATAGAGATGAACTCGATTGGTGTTTGTGGACGTGCCTGAACGTCCTGAGAGGGAAATCCCGTTCTGTTCATACGGGCTCACTACAGTTCAAGACTCAAATGTCACGGTTCTTAATCTAATCTCGCAAAGTGCAATGCAAGACTGATAAATCACCAAAGAGTCTAGATCCGTCAAATCGTTTTTGAAAATAGATTTTTTTTGAAAGAAGTGCCGAACATGGACTACTTTGCCAGATACAGAGTCGCCACCTAAATATTTATTTTGGGGGGGGGAATTTAGGAAACCCTGACTCGTTGCCTAAGGCCACGTATCCGTCATCACGAAAGTTGCCTCGGCTCGGGAACTTGGGTACGATTGGGGAAGGTCACTTCGTGAGCACCCCCGATCGCCCGATCGAAGATCGGCCTCTACTAACCATGATATCGAGTTTTGAAAACATTATGTGCTCTTATTCCGGTTATTAGCCTAGATTTACTATGTGATGCGCATAGCATACAAGTATAGACTAGATCACCTGAATTGGAACAAAACATTTCATGTTTGTTTTGAAAACGGTTTGCTACTCGCAAGTAGGCTAAAAATACAGATTTTGCCACCCTCGGGTGGGCTTAGAAAACATGATGATTTGCCACTCTCAAGTGGGAATAAAAACTTACAGTCAATGAATTATTCCAATTCAAATAACCTAACCTTCACCCACAGGCATTCAGGCAGTTATATCACATAAGCATATAGCCTCATGCTAAGCATGCTGTCATGGCAATACTTACACTCATGCAAGGATGCTAAAGCGTAAATGCTTACCTAGTACTCCAAGCCAAAACAGAAACTAATTAGTAATCGAATGCATGATCCTAGTTCATGCTAAGATGGCTAATGCAACACATGCAAAAATGCATCTAAGAATAGGCTCGGCTAATCTAAGAATGACATGTGAGATGCTATAACTAACACGTATTCAACTTGGAATTGAGATACAATGCAGTTAGTATGATGCGCCGAGCGCGGTGCATGCAAGAGAGATGAATGGATGCAAACATGCGAACATAAGGATGCTAATTAAAACATGTCCTAATCTAACCATTGAAAGCAGTTAAATAAAAGGGAGAAAGAAGTGGGGGTTGGAAGACATGCACGCACGCACGCACACTTATTACACAACTGCCCTCGCTCGGAGGGTCCGAATAAATATTACACAACCAAATAAATGATTAACTACTTAATTACTTATTACAGAACTTCTAATTGATTAACAAATTAAATGCAGAAGGAAGGTGGCTACAACCCCACCTTGGAATGATGGGATGATGCATGCTCGATTCGTCTCGCCTGGAAACCCGGTACCATGCCACTGTTGCCTCTGTTTACACTGCCTTGCTCCTCTGAGATTTATGAAAGTTTCCAGAATCCTTTTGAATCACTCCCTGAATGTTGTGGAATGTCACCGGCCATAATTCAAGTCCATCGGCCACTGGAAAGTGGTAATTGGCCAGTTTTAAAGCCATCGGCCATTCATTTTGGGTCGGTCAGCACTGTATGTGGCCGGTCGGCCAAAACTTCCTACAGAACCCTGTTTTGACAGCAGCAGAGGATAGACAGTGCATGGCAAGGAATTTTCAAAGCAATGTGTGCATGGTCACTCTCCCTATCATACTATGGACTCAAGGGAGAGTGGCTTTCGGTACTCGGGCCACCAGTCAAGCATTTCGATGCATGATGGCCAAAGGCACCAAGCTTGCAAATCAATGTAAATGCATGCAACAAAACAAATGAATGCCTCACGCCTTATCATGTTGAGATCAAGGGCATCGGCGACCGAGGATTGAGATATGTTTCGTCACTTTGAGTACGAACACACCTCACTCCTCGTGTTTGGTTTGTCACCCCAAACCAAACACAATGCTATGCATGTATGCTATATGTAATGCGAAGTAATGCAACTAATGCAATGCAATATGAGCATGCTAAGCTAATGCAACATGACACTACCTAACCATGCAAGCTAAACTAATGCAATATGAACATGTCAAGCATACAACGAGACTATGTAATGCAACTAGCTAAACAACATGCAAACATGCAAACAAGACACAATGTAAGCATGCAACCAATGTAATGCAACATGTCAATCATGGAATTTATATACAAGGATGGATTTAAACTGAAATGGGAGGCCTCAGCCATGCCCCAAAACAGTGGCCAAATGTACTAAAAATGATGGACAATGCTCATGCAAACATGCACACCAATGGGCCTAAAACTAAGGCATAAAAGGGAGCATTCCATTACAACTATCATGACCACACATGGCATGGATTATGCAACCAAAAACAGAGTCTTTGTGCGTCAAAATACACCCCAAAATCCACATGAATGCCATCCCAAATGACTTAAACAAAAGTCATGCACTATGACCCATTTCAAGGCACAAAAGAACGACTCTTCAAAGCATGAAAGGGATGACGAATGTAAGCATACAAGCATGGATTATGGATTGAAATAGCATGGGAAATGACTCTAAATCACTGAAACAACCGAACTATAGCATGCTTATGGCTCACACACTCAAGGCCTACAAGCTAGAATGCAAAGGGGCTATACAAAACATGGCAAACATGACTCTAAAGACCCAAGACAGACCTTAAACATGATGAAATAGGACTAAAAGCTTCATGGAGTCAAACCAAAATCATGCTAAAATGTCATCTCACAACATGATACATGTTAGGCCAAAACATGAGATTACAAGGCAAGCACATAATGCATGAAATGGACCATCAAACCAACTAAAAACAGAGGTATAATATGACCAAATATCACCAAATAACTACTGAAATGATGCTAAAAACAACTAAGAATGCATGCTACTCTTATGAGCCAAAAACATAAGTAAAAGAGAGATAAAGGGAGAGGGGTGTCCCTCCCCTATGCAAGACCTCAAAACCTCTTCTTCACCACTGAAAATCCTTTGGATTTCAGGGGTAAGAAGGCCAATACACGAAGGTTCCCGAAGCTC